AAAATCCCCAACTAATGATGTGCCCTGACACATACGCGGTAATTCCAATTTTGCCCAACGAGCCCCTAATTAGCTACAAAATGTTATGAGCTTCTTTACCACATAGTTCTTTCAATTTTTTATGTGAAACGGCACATCAGAGGTACTGGTACTGGAGCTGGGGTGGTGGAAGGATCGTGGCTCGATCAGTCTTCCACTTTTGCTCTCTAGAATGCGCTGTGAGTCGAAGGCGGGGAGAACATTGCTATCCCAAGAGGAGATGTGTGCTTCGGACAGAAGAACTCTTCAGCGAGACTCAGCCATTAGGCGACGGACTCGCTCTGACCCAACGAAACCACGTCTGGACTCTTTCCGTGCTGAAAATTAGAAAAGAAGTGCCATCATGGTATGGAGCAATGGTGAGGTTCAGCCACGTCTGGACATGTCTGGGAGAAAGTACAGACGAGCAAAGATGACGCGGTTGTCTCGATGGGACTTGGCTCGTCCTGGTCAGTGCCAAAGAGGCAAAGGAGTAATGTCTTAGCCGTGTTTCCAGTAGCCCCTTGTGATCTTCATTGCTCAAACGGTTCCTCACTGCGCTTTCTGGCCTCAATGTCTCTCAACATTTGAACCTGCTGACGGTCAAAATTGACGTCAACTTTCAGGGACTGGGCTATGCAGCTGATTTCGCGGCAATAGGAATTCTCTGCGTACGGTGGGCTCCGCTATCACAAACAAGCCTATTCATCAGCATTCTTACCTGCTTCACACCAGTCTCAACGGTCATCACAAATCCACTGTCTGGTTGGGCAAGTTTCAAATTCCAATCTGATTCTGAATTTTTTTTAGGATTTCAATTATTTGAAGATGAGTTTTTTTGCCTGATATCTTCAAACTTTCGAGAATCAAAGCTTTGAGGAAAGGTAGTGCAAGTTGCAGTGGCAACCCTGTAGCTGCCTTGTACCAAAATTATAAGGTAGGGGTCAAGGCGCAAGGTAGCTCAAGTAGCTTCACCTGAACGTTAGAGACCTCCGCCCGTGTTATTGGCGATTGTTTCGCTTTTTCTTGACTCGCCCCTCTGTCTAGCCTCTCCAACTAATCTAGACACAGCTGTGCCTCTAGTCTGAGATCCTTTCCAGAAAAGTGGGCTTGATTTCAATCGTTTCTGCAACTTCCTCTGCTTTCCTACACGGGTAGGTCAGCTAATACTTGTGCTTTTGTTTTCTGCCCCGCTACCTACGTCTTGTTTAGGAGGAATGCTCTCAAAATCTTCTTCTTCTCCCAAGCATTAATACCGCTCTGTCACAAGGTCCGCTGTCTTGTTAACAGTCGCCATCTTCTCCTATCCAGGCGTCCTCTGCCGTGGCCTTCACTTCAGTGAGGTTTTTCTTGATCACGTCCCTCCACTTTTCTTCGGGGCTCCTCGTGGTCGCTTGCCTTATGCTTCGAAGTCCAGTGCCTTCCTTATAGGGTGTTCCTCGGGCCTTCTCAGCACGTGCCCATACCATCGCAGTCGCTGCTCTCGTGCCTTCAGCTGGATCGGAGCGTCTGTGTGACCGCTCTGACGTCCTCGTTTCTGACTCGAGTCGTGTCCAGCCGCAGGCCCATCTCAGCATCCTCATTTCAGCTGAGTGGAGCTGCCTTTCATGGTTCTTGCAGATGGGCCAGCACTCGCTGCCGTAGAGCATCGCTGGCCTCACCACTGCCCGGTACACCTTGCCTTTTCAGGGTCCTGGAGCATCGCCTATCGCAGAGCATGGCGGTGGACACCCTCCACTTCATCCAAGCCGCACTTATTCAAGCCTTCACTGCCTGGTTCACGCTACCATCATGGGCCAGATCGCTTCCCAGGTAGCGGAAGTTCTCTCACCCTCTCGATGGACTCTCCACGACTGTCCTGGATGGGCTCGTCGCATTCTTCGGAGCTCAGGAACTTGGTCTTCTTAACGTTCAGCCGGAGGCTATTCTTGGCCAGTACGTTCTGCTATTTTTGCACCTTCCCCTGAAGTACTTCTCTGCTCTCCGCTAAGAGCTGACCCTTGGTGTACCCCAACCCTTATGTCTACCTCCCTTGTGAGGCCGTGCGGGGTACCTACAGCCGTCTTTCGTCCCATCGTACATGTCCTTTACCACGGATATTAAATGCTCGGGAACGTTCCGTTCTCTGAGAGCCCTCCAGACGGACAGGTCGCGGTAAGCGATCGAAGGCTTTCTCGAGATCAGCTAGGTAGCAAGGTCGCCGCTTCTCTCGGTACTTCTCCATCAGCTGTCTGGCGATGAAGATGGCATCGGTGGTGGACCTCTCGGGCATGAAGCCGAACTGTTCCTGCGAGATCGGAACGAGGTCCCTCAGCCTGGTGTTGACTAACCTCTCGTACAGCTTCATGGTATGTGCGGTCAGTCTAATGTCCCGGTAGTGGGAGCAGTTCGTTGCGTGCCCCTTCTGCTCGAAGATGGAGACGATTGTACTGCACCTCCAAGCATCCGAGGTCGTTCGTACGTAGCTCTCGCATACTTACCACAGCGGGCGAGGCGGCATTAACACTGATTCTATTGCGACTTGTCATGATTGTTGTGACGGGTTCCTCCATCAGCCGGCCTGTCAACCTGGGCCTGACGCTGGTATCGTCCCCATTTTTGCAATTTTTGCAAGGCATGGTTTGTGCCTCGGCAGGGATCGAACTCGTGGCCTTCTTCAGAAGTGGTTGCGAACATAAACCCCTACTCTTAACCACTCGGCTATCCCTGCCTTCTCAAGATAAATATGTTCGCAAATCGCGGAGAGTGACTTACAAAAATGAATTTGTATACTTTAATTCACCTAGCTGTGAGGTGAAGAGCAGAAGCAATTCAAGACTTTGTGGACCAGGCTCCTGCTGTTTTTAGGCACTGGACGAGCATGTGGTGAACAGAGACTCAAAGCCGCTCAGTAATAGTCTAGATAGTCGTGAATGAGAGCCCCGTGAGAGCCCCACAGCCGCGCACCCAAGTGCCAGAGATGGGATCGCAACGAACTGCAGCCGTATTTCGTGGGCAGCCATAATTAGACTAAATTTCTGGCCGCGGCAAGCTGTCACGAATGCACTTACTAAGCGTTTCGATCGAACTTTGGTTGTCAGACAACAACGGTATCGTCCGCAAACATAATGCGCGTTCTGTAGAAGACTTGTGTTAGTGAGGTAATGCGCGTGGACATCCTAACTTCCTCATTTTCACAAGAAGGATATATTGGCAAAAGTCGGGCCCGGGGCGGGACTTGAACCCGCATCTCCCGGTTGCGTTATCTATTACACTCCTCATTCTCTCTGCGTGATGTCGAAACCATTCCAGTTGTGCTCTTCAAGCCTCGGCTGGCGCTCTGCTTTTTATATCCACGCTGGATTTGGATTTTTGGTGTTTTGTCTGTGGATTGTTTTCTATCAAGATGATCCTCAACTGCATCCAAGTGTCAGCGAAAAGGAACTGGAAAAAATTCAAAGGGATAAGACGCAAGCACACATCGAAAGAGACAGCTTCGTTCCATACAAAGTGAGTCCTTTTTGAAACTTTATTGTTTCTGAAAACGGGACGCTACAATGGTCTCACAAGACCGGATCCAGAAGGTGGGAAGCCCAACAGTGGTCAATGACGCAGTCCTTTTCCGAAAACCCACATTAATGGGAAAGTAGACAAGGAAGCAAGCCTAGTGAAAGGGCTTGAAGACCACGAAAAGAGATTTATTTTGCAGGCCATTCTGAAATACGAAGGTGATTCTGATTGTGTGGTGCAATGCGTTTGTGGAAATGGTAACCGTGACATTATTACTTGTCTATGCACCGACATACTTCCACGTGGTACTAGGATACGATATACCCACCACAGGTACGCTTAAACCGAGTCTCACTTTGATTGGGTGTTGGTCAGGACTCCCAATAGATCTGCTAACGGCCGCGATCGGCTAACGCCTGCGAAGATACCGCACTCATTTGTTCCATTTTGCACAAAACGCAGTCAGGGTACAGCATGGGGATGTGCGAAATGGCGGTGTGAGTACGACCCCCCCCCTCGAAGAGGGTCCAGTTACGACCCCCCCCTGCTCTAACTGACAACCAGATGCATGTTCACCACAAATGGCTTCCTGAAATGGAATCTGGATTTTCGAAAGGCGGACTCTGCTCTAAATCCAGGCAATAATAGGCTGTTTCAGCCTCATGCAATATGAGGCTGAACAACAGCCTCGCATTACCTACAATTTTGTCTTAGGATTCAAGAATAAAACTCGTCGTTCGACAACCATGTATGACATGCAACTTGTAACAAGGAACACAATCGAAACAGCGACTAATGGTGATCATTGATAAGCTAAATTGGTGAAAAAAAAAGCCCCAAGGTCAGCGTGTCAGGCCCCAGATGTGCATTCAATGAATGGTGACGGGGAAATCATGAAAAATGCACGACACAACAAAGCGAAACATGAAAAATACAAAAAAAATGCGGAGCCAAATGAAAAAAGGATAACCAGGCGGCAGTATATCGTTCTATACTTGGCTATTATCGATCGCAACGTTGCGACCGCTTTCATTGGAAAAACGTCATTGGAGCGCGGTTGTTGGGCCTGCCAACGTCCTGGGGGGTCTTTTCGGGGGTTATATCTCTTTGAGGGGCGCGGCTTTTGATGAATGGTTAGCAGCATGCAACGGGAATGTTCCTACTGTTGCGTTTTCTACCCAGTTGCAATCTGAATGTTTCCCCGTTCGTGAAATATTTCGGATGGGTTTCGGATCGGCTAGGGGTAAATGGCAAGCGGGTTTTTATGCTTCACACGAGGATTACTTATTTCGAACGCAATTTCATCAGGATTAAAATCGTCTTGAAACCGCCCTATCTTTTCTCTTTCCAATAAGCTTTACAGTTTTCCTGAAGACCCGCTAGTTCAGGAGATATTTTAGATGGGTCACAGACGCGCTACCCTCTGACCCACCCGAAAAATCGACTCCTTCTGTGCCATTGTGAGGATACACCTTCGGAAAACTCCAAAACACATATTTCCCTTCAAATGAGTGAAAGAGGAGCTCGGCTATCACTGATCGATTTGGTCCGAGTGTGCGCCGTGCATTACGCTCCTACGCAGAGGTGGTGGAGGAGAGGTGGTACAGGTCTGCAGTCCATTACGGGACCGGGTGGGCCGGCTGCAGGCCGCGGCGGCCGCTGTGACGCGACAGCGGCGTGCGCGGCTGGGCTGGGTGCCGTGTGTGCGCGTGGGCAGAGACGGGTTCAAGGGCCAGTGCCGGGGCGGCGCGGCTGCGTTCGGTTCCGCGTGGCGCGACCATTGTGCGCGGCGGGAACCGGCATGGTTGACTGGCGCTATTCAGTTGGATCAGACGCCGCGGCCCGATCAGCTGATCTCAGATGGAAAATGCGGCCCTGGCAAGTTTTTGTTTAATTTTCAGCGCTGTCAAGGGCTGCGGGAACAGCATGGTGAGTTGTGCGCTGTGAACAATTTAAAGAGGTTCTGGCTGGGTAATTTATTGATGCTTTGTGGGGCCTAGTTGTTATTGGGCGCCTTTGTACCTTGTGCTCCGTGTTTCCGTTGTTAGGGGCTTTTGGGCGGATGGTGGAGGGCGAGTTGCCTTTCCCACCCTGTTTGTTTGGCCTCTTACTGATCGGATGCTGTGTCTGTAGATGTGTTTGCTGGTTTGTGAGTTGCACACTCTGTTGACATCGGTTTGAAAGTCTGCAAGACGACGAGCTGGGAGACGTGCTTATTCCCAAATCATTGTCTGCTGTGCCGATGTCAAGAGAGTGTGTTGCAGATCAGAAACCAGAAACGAACTGACTCTAAGACCGTAGCAGAGAGAGGTAACGAGGCCAAAAACGGGCTGGGGAAGGCAGTGGCATCCGAATCGCGAAAGAAAGCCCTGGAATAGAAGGGGAGAGA